CTGCGAGGGGATGTCCACGATCTTGTTCAGGTCTCTTTCATGTAAGAAAGCTTTGCCTTCCTCAAAGTGGACGTCCTCCCATCCCTTCTCTTTCCAGAAACGCTTGGTATAAGCGAGACCCGCCTCGGGTAGTATCGTGCGATCGCCGAAAGCGTCCGCCGAAGGCCAGTTGTATAGTTCGGACGTGCTAATGTCGTAGCAGAGGATGTTGGTGGACCCCACGCACTCGGCATCGTAAGTCAACAAGGACTTGACTCGCGCGGTTATGGCATACGAGGGGACCAGGTCGTCGTCGTCCATGTGGAGGAAGACGTCTCCGGTGGCGTTCTCGCAACCGATATGCCTCTTCCGGCCGATGGTCAGAGCCCTAGAGTCTTTCGTCCGAAGCCTGACGAATCTCACGCGCTTGTCCGACCTGAGCGCACCGAGGGCCGGCTTGGCATCATGACCGACTTCAGAGTCGTCCACTATGACCCACTCCAGCTTGTCCTTTGGATAGTCAAAGTTCATAAAGTTGTTGACGGGCAGAGCAAAGAGCCTGCGGTGGTTCCTGGTGACCGTGATCACGGAAACTCGAGGCAGATCTTCTGGGTCCACCCTGTCCAGGCACAGCGTCCTACCCTCGTTCCTCACGCGAGCTTTTGGGATGCTCTTTCTCTCGTAAGCAACGGGATATTGCGGAGGTCTGTTGTACATGTGTAGCTTCCTGTAGTCCACGGCCCTGGCTTCGATGTCGCTGAAGCTTGGGACCTGAGAGGCCACGGGTTTCAGGAGCGAATAACACTGGATCGTCGGGTGCAGCTGCGTCTGGTAGACCACGTCGACCGGCTGTATATCTTCCAGAGGTCTATCGACATTCGCCGCGAGCAGATCGATGGCCCGAGAGTACGTGTCCCGCTTCAACACGTAACAGTGCGTGGACAAGCAGGTGGAAGGCAACCACAGTCTCCTCTGCTCGGCGGATCGTCCGAGCAGCTCCCATTCGCAGTCGAATATCTCTTGCGAGTCCACCGAGTGGGGGACGTGCACTGCGGGCATGAAGATGATCTCTTGCAACCTGGAGACGATGGCGGCAATGTTGGCTACTCCGATGAGTTGCGAGCTCTGTTCGCGGAAGCAGTCGGTTATCTTGGCTCTGTGATAGAGGTCCTTTGCGAAGCGCACCCCCTTGACCTGCTGTCTGGTCGCTATTATGTCGGATTCCCCCGCGAATTCTCCGGAAACTATGTAGGCATTAGAGCAGTCGGTGGCCCCGAATGTTTCGAAAGCGCTGTCGGGGCTCTCGTCCATGGTGAGCACCAGGACGTCCTGTCTTCGGGACTTGATGAGCTTATCGAGGTCGAGGAACGTGTGAGTGGGTTTGACCGTCAAGAGCCCGACGGTGTCGCTGCCCTCCAGCCTGGTGGGTTCTTCGAAGTAAATCCGGCTGAGCGTCCCGCCGAGGTATAGCATGTTCGCCGGCAGGCCGGGAGGGCCGCTCGCGTATTGCAGAGGATCCTCCTCGAAGCATACGTCGTTCTCGATTATCATCACCTCGTCCAGATCTCGCTGCTTCGCCATCTCGATGATGGCTTGATGCGACGTGCAGCATCCTCTCATTGGCGACTCTTTGTCCCTCTCGAACTCGACGATTTCAATCTCCAGGCCATACTTTTCGGCCTGTTTTGCGACGTTCTCCTCGCGGTCGGGTCGATCCTCCGTGTGCACGCAGAGTATATGCATCCTTCCTCCTAACTACTGGAATAATATTTTGCGATCAGAAGCCGCGGGCGGGAGAGTATCAAGATTTTCTGTCTTTAGGGACAGACCCATCATGGCCGTCCTGGACACACTCTTCTTCCTGCTGTCGTACATCTCCAACCTGGAGCTCTGGAGCTGGTTCCAGAGTGCGCTGCCGGCGTGGCCCGTCAAGAATCAGGACCTCGTCGACGCGGTCGTGTCCGCGCATTACGTGGACCCCGACACCGGCCTCGACGCCTGCGTCGCGCAGCGCGTGAAGAGCTCGTTGCGGAGCGCGAGCTGCGACTATCTCAGCGTGAAAGACATCTGTCCAGAGCTCTGCGAGTTCTCGGACGAGGGGGCTCTGGTGTTACGTTGCAGGGTGGGGGGTATAGAATTCGAAGTCCGGGAGCCCGACCTCGTCGACCTCAACGAGCTGCGGGACCGCGTAAGGCTGTGGGACCGCGTAAGGCTGTGGGACGAAATCTCTGGACCGAAAGCAGAATGATGCTGAGAGCTCTCGTGTTCAGCGCGGCCGGAGCAGGCGGCTTCCTGCAGTTGGGGGTCTTACAAGCCCTTCGAGAAGCGCGCATGCTGACCGGCGTCCGAAAGTTTGTCGGGACGTCAGCCGGGTCCATCCTAGCCCTCATGGGCGCGCTGAACATCTGCCCGAAAGAGGTGTTGCGGTCGGTCTTGTCTTACGAAGCGGCGCACTCGCTCCTGTTCTCCATCCGAATCTCCAAGTTGTTCACCGACTTTGGTCTGGACGACGGCGAGCGGCTATTCGACTTCATCTTCAGCATTCTAGAACGCCTGAGTCCAGGATTTCGTGACCTCACTTTCGTAGGGCTATTACAGAAGACTGGGAACGAGTTGCACATACCGACCACCTGCGTGACCACGGGGTCGCTGGTGCTCATGTCCGCGGACACCACCCCCGACCTCAAGATCGCGACGGCGATACGCGCCTCCTGCTCCATCCCTCTCATCTTCACCAGCCCTATTATCGACGACAAGCGCTTCTGCGACGGAGGGCTGGTAGCTTACAATCCCGTGTCGTTGGTGTCCCAAATCCCTCCCGAGGAGAAGCTGGCCATCCTCGTGCTGCCGGACTACGACCGAGAGGACGTGAACGACGTCCTGGCATTCACCGCTCGAGTCATCAGGCTGGTGTGCACCTACCATCAACTCCAGGCCATAGAGCGGGAAGATTGGGTGTTCTCGTCCACATCGACCGACGGGATGGGCGTTACCATACCAGATACGACCGCCATGGTGACCGATTTCGAACGAGGCCGAAAGGAGGCGGGCGTTTACCTTCTAAAGCGATTCAAGCCCAAGGATAAGCTGGATTGACGATATAGGGCGGCGAGAGGCTTTCGTTATTCAGAGAGGTATGGACACCACGGCCATGCTCATCTTCCTCTCGTTCTTGGTCCCAGCGGCCCTCTTGGTATATCTGACATTTATGATCTCCAACCACAGATTCGCCATGCGGGCTCTGGAAGCACGCACCGAACAGCCTTGAACATGGAGGGGCTCCGAGCGTTTCACAACGTGGTGAAGGAGACCCTGCTGTCTGAGGCTCTCTCGAGATGCAGGAACGGCAGGGACCTGAAGGTGTTGGACTTTGCGTGCGGGTGCTTGGGGGACGTGCACAAGTACGACCGCACCGGTAGGATCCGCAGGGTCGTTGGGCTCGACGTTGATGGGAAGGCGCTCGAAGAGGCGGAGAGGCGCAGCAAACCGTATGCTGGGAGGATGGACGTCAGCTTACTACCTCCTATCGACTGTAGGGACCTCGATCTCGCGTCCGAAGCGCTGTGCGGCGAGAGATTCGACCTGCTGGTCTGCAATTTCGCCGTGCAGTACTTCGCAACCGGGCCCGAGGAGACGGCCCGCTTCGCGCGCTTCATCAAAGCACACCTGGACGGTCCTCGCTCGATATTCATCGGTTGTGCGATGAATGGAGACAAGGTGGACCTCATATCGAACGCCAGCGGGACGTTCGCCAACGACATCATCGGCGTGCGAAGGGAGGGAGAGACGTTCGCGGTCGCGATGAACGAGAGGACCAGATACTATGCGAAGCAGGGGGCGAGCATATCGGAACCGATATTCCGTCCGGAGAGTCTCATCACGGGGGCTCTCGAGTCGGGGCTTCGACTGCTGGATTGGACGTCTTTTGCGGAATACGGTTGGCCCGCGCGTTACTCGCCCGCGC